AAAGAAAGGAAGAAAGGAAGAAAGGAAGAAAGGAAGAAAGAAATATAAGAAAAAATTACAAATTAAAAAAAAATTTTAGTATTTGACATTTAATAAAAGCATGAAATACGGTTTATTGCATTGATGACCGCAATACTTCACCCTTCTAGGTATCCATACCCTTTGCCCTATGAATTTGAAACTGCTCCCAGTAGAAGGTCAGAGTCTATTTCCTTACCCCTTGAATCCTGCCTGGATCTGAGGCTTACTTTGAGTAATAAAATGCAGGGGAGAGAGGCTGTGCCGTCCGGAGGCTAAGCCTGCAAAGGCCTTGTGCGTTTCTGCTTATTCTTACAGCCCTGCCACCACCATGACAAAGAGCCCAGGACAGCCTGTTGGAGGACGAGAGGCATGTGGAGCAGAGCTGACTCACTCCAGCCCCCTGCCATCCTAGATTAGCCAACCCTTTGATGAGCAAGTCCAGCCAAGATCAGAAGAGCTACCAGCCAAGCCCAGATTCCTGACAATAAACAACTGTTCTATGCCGCTGAGTTTTAAGGTGGCTTGTTACACAGCAAAAGATAACTGATACACTATCCACTCTGGCAGCAGCAACAAATTAAGTGAAGCTTGTTAAACTCCCCACATTTATTTTACAGTTTGGTATTGTTTTAAATTACAGTTGCATAGAGTGAACCATGGTATGCTTAATGTTTTCAGCCACTAAAGTTCTGTATCCAGCTCCACTCTTTACCTGTCTTATATATTTAGCTTCAGAATAAAATATTTTTCAAAGAAAGAATTTTGCTGCTAACAAAAAGTCTGAGGATCACTGCAGCTGACCCGCTTATCTTCGGTATGCCTGGTGCTCAGAGGACGGACGGGAATTGCCAAGAAAGATGACTGGAGAGAGTATGGTCCGAGGCTCGAGAAACCAGCATTCTGGATGTCCTTCACCCTTGACCTGAATGCACCTGCTTAGGTGCATCTAGAGATGGTCAGAAGGTACCCTCCCACTGAAACCAGCATCAGTGGCCTCTAATACAAAAGGAAATTAGTCCAGATGGAAGCCCCTCACAGACGTTTTCCCCCTAAAACACGGCAAAGGGCAGACTCCCCCTCCTTCCTGCCTCCCACCTAGATTCTTCATTTCATGCACACAATAGTCACGTAATAAATACCCACCAGATGTCTCTATTAATATATTATAACTCCCAAAAGGAGTGGGATGATGGAAATGCTGTCAGGGCATGAAGGCTCTGAAGCATTAAACAGCAGTAGTGTGCAGAAAATTAATCTTTTTTCTTTCTTTTCTTCTTCTTATCCCCTCCCTTCCCCCAGGATGCCGGCATAGGCAGGTGTCAGCAGAAGTCTCTTCACAGCTCAGTGAATGAGATTTTAATGAATCCTGAAGAGGAGGGGGTGTGGGAGGAGGGGCTTCTATATCACAAAACATTTCACACAAGCCCTGCTGGCATAGAGGCCCCCTCCCAGACGAAAGAGGGTGCTGAAAGGATGCTGTGGTCCCCCAACCCCCTTCAGAAAGCTAAGAGGATCTCGGGATCCTGATCATCTTTTAAGCCAGAATGAGTTCCATTCAGTTTTTCTAAAAATTCCACGCTCTCTCTCATATGTGGACTTTGCACATGCTGTTCCTTTACCTGGAACTCCTCTGTTTCTTCTCTATCTGCGCCTCCTTTACATAGTCTCAGCTTGCACATTACTTCTTCCAGGAAGCTCTCCCATCATCACCCAAAGACTGGGCTAGGTGCCCTTCATTGTGCTCCCTCCAGCCACTGTGATTCTGCTAGTGTCGCTCCATGCACAATAAAATGTATTTGTTGGTGACTGGCTGTTTGTTTGTTTGTAAACCCCTCTAGACATCCACTCAAACTTTGGCCAAACCTGTATTCCTGGTGCTTAGCACAGCGCATGATACGTAGTAAGCCCTGGGTGAGTGTTAGAGAAGGAAGCAAGGGAGGATGGGAGGAGGGGAGGAGGAGGAGGAGGGAGGGAGGGAGGGAAGGAGGATGGATATACACTCTACCTTTCAACTTTCAGCATTCAGGGAGTCTTAAGAGCTTGGGACCCTCTGAAGTCATGAACTTCTCTCTTGCGATGTTCTTATTTACAATCGGACAACATTTCAGCATCTCTTCCTAGCGTGTCTGAATAATATACTCACCATCTTCATAAAAAGATCTTGCCTGACCAGAATCTTACCACACCATGTATACACGCACTCATACACAATGTATGTGTATGTGTGTGTGTGTGTGCGTGCGCGCACATATATACACAATAGGGTAAGGCAAGGTTGTGATCCACACCTTCCTCTGACTTCATCTGCTGCTTTACAGTTGACAAAACTTTCTCATGCATCTCATTTGACTGTACCATCTCCCGGTGAGGGTGAAAGTTCAGGGTTACCATACCCATGTAACAAAGGAGATGGCCTGGGCTCAAGGAGGTGGAGGGCAGTGCCCTAAGGCCACACTGACATTGAGTCCCAGAGCAGGACTCAGACCTGGGTGTTCTGAGGCCAGACCGAGCATTGTGCTTGTGGCTCTGTTATAACTTCCCCATCACGGGGAGGGTAAAAATGACCTTCCCCTAGTTTCTGACTGTGCACACACAACCAAAGCCCAGTGTGCTTTGCAGCCTGACTGTTCATTTATTGGACCCAGCATCCAATCTGTCATGCATATTTAGGAAATGAGTCCAAATTAAAACACAAAAGTTATGAGCAAAGATCGGACCTCTGAGTCAAAGTCATTTCACTGGGAAATCAGTCTGACCTCCCATGAGGTGACAGAGAACAGCACAAAACTTCCCACAAGCTCTGTTCTGTTCATCACCATCTTTGACTGATGATGGCAGCTATTTGAGTTAATATTTTCTTTATCTAAGAACAGTGTTCCCAGGCAAAATGCTGCAGGAACAGAGGCACAGGGGGTTAATAAATTTGCTGAACCCCACAAGTTACCCACAAGAATTCAGCTGAGAGCTCTCCTAAGGAATACTTTCCATCCTTCTATCGAGATTTTTTTCTTGAAATTTCATAATTTTTTTTCTGAAGAGGAGTGTTTTTTTTTTAAAGATACATAAAATTGCTAGTTCCTCTTTGAATCATCTCTCTTTAGGGGCAAGCCACTTTGATGAGAAAAGGGATAAAACTCAATCTGTAGAAAAATAAAAGTATCATAAAGTACTCACTGTTCTTTGTCACTGAAGGCAGGCAAAGAAAGGAGAGAAAGAAAAAAATGAATAGTTAGGGAGAAAAATCTCATAACAATGCCAACACTGTCTGGATGCAACGCCACACAGGTTAAATTACAATGACCTATTTCTATTTTTTTTCCCAGTCATTATTCTCTTATTCCAGCACATCTAAAATGAGACTGCTGCAATGTATGTATGTATCCAATGTGTATAATCTACAGCTTTGATTAAAATGATCAATTAGTTCAACTTATTAATTAACCAATCTGATCATTTACGTATTTGAATGATGGGTTTTTTTGGTGAGGCACCAAAGAGGAGTCACTTAATGGTAACAGGGCCACCATCATTCTTGGTTTCAAACACTGGGGGATAAAGAGCACATTGGGGTAGGGCAATGAGCCCTGAACAGTAACTGGACCTCCCAAAGTAGACTCTGCAGTGCCCCATTTGGGGATGTGGGTCCTCTCATTCTAAAAAGAAGACCAGCATCTTCATTTACTAGATGCACTGCCATGTCTTCTCTTCATGCCTCAGTTTCCACCTCTCATCTCTGGTGCTCTCCGGCTTGCAGACTTGAAAGCTATAGAGAAATATCAGAGACCAGCATTTCTCCCCCTTATTCCCAACACAGAGAGCTGAACCACTGCCCCGCCCGTGCAAGAGGCAGATGCGTTCACTTCTTTCAAACACAATCACAATTATGTTCCCAGCACCATCGTTACATTCAAGGAGGCTGAGAGAGGATGGCATCTGAAAAATCACAAAAGCCGTAAATGTATCTGGCCGGCCAGCAGTTAATTAAGACTAGATTTCCTAATTTCCTGGAGAAAGACATTAGAAGCATCTGCATTAGCACATCACCACTGCAGCAGACTAGACAGCATGTGTGGTGACTATAATTCACCCATTAGCATTTATTGGAAAATAATTTTAATATCTGAAGAAAATGCAGTAGTAATCAAGCCAGCCGGATGCACTCAGAATGCCAAGATGTTTCACAGGAGCCTGGGAGCACTTTAATGAACCTGCAGCCAGACCCTTTGAATAATTCTAATTTAATTGTAAGGCAAATTGTTTGGCTTCATACTGACTAAAGTAAACTCTGATGGATGGGATTTTAATTAGCTGACATTTCTTAAATAAAATAAGTATTTTACCCCATCCACCTTCAGGCAACTGTTTATAATACAGGCATATAATTTTTGGCTGATAGAATATTCTCTGCCAAATAAGTTTGGCTTCAAGAGGACATCATGGGAAGGGCTTGGAAACTAGAAGTTTCCTTTCAAAAAGGAAACCAGCAGAGTTCAATGATGTCTTCAAAACTGTAAAACTCGTTGAACTGGAGGAGGTTTTAGGTAGAAGCAGTGAACAGAAGTAGTGCTTCAGACAGTATGAGTAGACTAAATATTCCAAAAACCCTTCACCAATGTATAATTAGGGCCTCGATAAATGAGGGCAAATCATTTTTTTTAATGCGGTTCTAGGGCTGCTAGAAAGTAAGGGAATTCTCCTACATTCCTTCCCCACTTCAAAATAAATAAGCAAAATTGACTTCCTAAAAGTAAAAAAGCATTTCCTCTTCAAAAGACTCTGTTAAGAAAAAGGAAATGCAAGTCATAGACTGAGAAAAAATATGTGCAAAATACATCTCCAAAAAAGGATTTTAACCTATAACATTATGGAAAAAAAACTTGTAAAACTTAATAACAAGAAGATAAATGACCTGACTTTTAAACGGACAAAGTATTTGAACAGACATTTTAACAAAGAGGTTATATAATGGCAAAATTACATGAGAAGATATTCAACATCGTTAGTCATTAGGAAAGTGCAAACTAAAATCTCAGAACAAATACCACTCCGCACACATTAGGATGGTTAAAATGGAAAAGACTAGTCATATCAAGTGTCGGTGAGGAGGTAGAGACACAGAACTCTCACACGCTTCTGGTGGAAATTTAAAGTGGTACAACCCATTTGGAAAACAGTTTGGCAGTTGCTTAAAAAGTTAAACATACCTGTACTATACCACTGGGACCTTCAACTCCTAGGAATTTACTCAAGAGAAATGAAAGCATATGTCTATACAAATTTTATTTGTACTAGTTCCAAACTGTAAACAACCTAAATGTCCATCAATAGATGAATGGATAAACAAATTGTGGTACATCCACACAACGAAATATTATTTGGCCATAAACAGGAATAGACTATCGCTATGCAAAACAATATGGATGGATTGTGAAATAATTATGCCAAGTGAAAAAAAGACATCTCCCCTCAAAAAAGGAGTACAACACTGAATGATTCCATTTATATAAAATTCTAGAAAATGCAAACTAATTTATAGTTACAGAAAGAAGGATGGGAAGGAAGAGGGGGGGCAGGAAGGAGAGGCTGCAAAGGGGAATGAATATACACACGTGTGTAAAAATGATCAAATTGGACTTTAAATGTGTACTGTTGGAGGTACATTAATTTTAACTTTATAAGGCAGTTTTTTAAGAAAGAAAAAGAAAACCCAGCAAACTGAATCCAGAACAGGGAGCTGTGAGCAAGGTGCGGAAGCTGAATCTGAGACCCCCACTTTGAGCCAGGACCCTCCAAAGGAGCTCAGGTCATCCTGGGTGAGCACAGGAATCCCTGGCAGAAGCAAATGCAAATCTGTCTGAAAAAAAATATTCCCAAGGTAGATCCCCAGGATTCTCACAGACTGAGCTCACAATAAAAAATTACCAAGCATTCAAAGAAACAAGACCTTATGAGTGAAAATCTGCAGGAACGATGAACTTAGATTATCAGGGGCTTCAGGCAGTGATGTGCTGGTAAATGTTTAACAGTTGAATCTCTGCAGAAAAAAAGCCCCCACTGTGGCTGATTGTGAGTACCTCCACAAGGCCACTAAATGCAGAACTGGGAAGAAACATGCAGTAGTATACTGTTACATAGTATTTCACCATACAGATATAAAAGACACCAGTAACAGAGAATAACAAAATGTAGTAAAATAATTAAGAAGTGGTTAATGTTGAATAGTCACTACTTTTGTGTTTAATATCATTTAATTATAAAACCATATAACTTAATTTTTAATAATGGCCATGTTTAACAACTGACTTGCAAAATTCCTGAAAATTTAACATCAGTTCTCCTGAGCCACCATGGTGTGGATCCAGCACACCACTGATTCAGGTATAATAATTACTGGGTGCAGAATGTAAAGTTACTTTGATGTGGAATTTTCCAATTTTTAAATAATCAGGCCAAAAATAAAAAACACCTTTCTGCAAGTCAGAGTCGGCTGGTGGCCTGCCAGTTTGCAACCTCTGATCCAGTCCAACCTCCTTACTTAATTGATGAGGAAACTGAGACCCAAAGAAGGGAAAGAGATTCACTGATGATCACTCAGGACACTAGCTCAGACCAAGAAGCAACCAAGTCTGATTCTAACCACCAGGTCTGTGCTCTTTCCAGACCACCTCTAATTTAGGGCACAGAGCTCAGAATTTAATCTTGTTACTCCAACCTTGCAAAGCAGTAGAATCAGTGGAGAAGTGTCCATGACAGAACTCCCACCAGGTTCTTTTCTCTCTCAGCCCCAGGGGGGGGAAATTCTATTTCTTTCCTTGCTCTTCCTTTCCTCCTCCAAGTGCAGATCAGGACCTCATTGCCCCCAAAGCAAACCGCTCCCAAGAAGACCCAGCAACTTACTTTGACTGAAGGGGTCGGTCACTGGGACACATCCAACGATTGGAGTTGTTGCTGAACACGGTGTCAGTCATGGCAGAAGTCTGGTGCTCCTGGAAAACGTAAGCCCGGAAGAACATCACACAGTTATCCAATCGCCTCTTACTTCTCAGGACCCTGCTCTATGCCAAGCACTCTGGGGGATATGGAGAAGAAATGGGACTACATCCAGCTTCTCCACTTTCCAGATGGGGAACCAAGAGGGGAAGTGACCTGCTGGAGTCACAGCCCCCCTGTGGCAGAAATGAATCAGAGCGAAGAGCTCCCTCCCTTTAATCTGTATTCCTCCCATTCACTGTTGATGCAAGGCCACATACCCAGGAGGGGGGGCTCAGAGCTCTTAACTCTAGTCCAGGGTCTTTCTACTGGAGGATGTCATCTGACTCATGTACTAGTCAACTTGGCTTTGGTCAGACAGAAAAAAAAAAACAAAAAACCCCGCCTCTTAGCATTGTGAGGTCCCAAATGTTAGCATCATCCCTGGCTTGCTTTCTTTTTAATACTCTACACCCAAACCATCAGAAGGTCAC